CGTCAGCCGTCGCCTCAGCCCCCGGAAGATCTCCACCTGCACCGACCACGAGCTGGAGAACCACAGCATGTACTGCGTGCAGTGCAAGAGCCCCGTCTGCTACCAGTGCCTGGAGGAGGGCAGGCACGGCAAGCACGACGTGAAGGCCCTGGGCGCCATGTGGAAGCAGCACAAGGTGAGTCCCCGCGGCCGGCCAGGAGGTGCTCGGCGCTGGGGCTCGGTTGTCCCAATGCCCTGACATCGGGTTGGAGTTTGTGGGACATGCGGGTGCTTCACGTCAGTTGTCCTCCCAGACTTTTTTCTCCCTTGGCACGGTGTCCTTAGGTCTCCAGTCCTCCCTTACTGCCCAGTGATCCCACAGCCTCTGTGCAGGGTTAGAAAACCCACAGACTCCCTCCTATGTTGGCCTCACCTTAGCCAGCAAACCTCAGGCTCAACCAGGCCTCAGGCAGACACCTGAGATTAGCGAGTCCATCTCACTAACTTGCTTGCCTTCCACAGGGTCCTTGGCCATCCCATCCTCTCACAGGTGGCATCAGCTGCCAGTGAGGAGACGGGATGGTCAATCCTTCCTATCACCACCTGCCTTTCACTCTGTGCAAGCTGCTACAACCATTTCCCACCACGTGTCAATGAAGGAGAGTGGCCTGGAGCCACCTGAATGTTTTAGACAGGAAAGCATGATAAGGAACATCATGGGACATCGTGTTGTCTCCTGGGCCTCAGAGAGGTCTCCCCTCTCACTCAGATCCCAAAGAGGCCAAGACGAAAGGCTGGAGGGACCTTCATGACACAAAGATGAGTAAGGAATGATAGGATGGATGGGGTCTGGGGACAAGTAAAGCTTTTTCTGATTCACCTGATGTCACAGTCTGATTCATGCTTCCTTGCATGTGATGCTCCTTAGCCCTCGCTGGAGCTCCCCGGGGAGACATCAGAGCCAGCCACTTTGCCATGTGGGAGTTTGCTGAAGTCTGGTAGAGGTGCTGGGTCACTTGGCCATGCTCTCCTTATTAAAAATAAGACTTTGCAACCATTTGAGTAAAGAGCAAGACCTGACCTTAGAAGTTGTTTTTTTTTTCTCTCTTGCTAAGAGCGGTGGACCTTGGGAAAATTATTAGTTAATACATATGAACATATAGAAGGCACTTTAATACCTGAGTGCTGAGAGCAGTCCTTTGGAGATTCCCACTGTACTGGGGGGAAGGAACTTTTCCCACAGCTGTGCAAAGAGCGCTTGGCCAGCCCTGCTGGCTGCAGGATTCCCTCCTTCTCACTCTGTGCTGCAGTTAGCAGTAAAGGAAGCACAGAGAGAGCCTTTCAGACACTGCAGAAAAGGGCAAAATCAAGACTGGTCTCATCATCCCTCAGCCGTGGAGTGGCTGAGCACAAGCTAGTCTAAGACATTTGGCAAGGCAAAAACTTGACTTTTGATTTTAAGATTCAAAAAGGATGCCCCTTGGGATGATCTGCATAGTTAGTCCATGTGAGAAAGACAAACTTCTTCAGTATGTGTTTCTGTCTGAATGTTCTGCTAAGGGCTCAGCCATCCCCTCCCTAACATGACGGGTATTTGTGCAGAGGAGAAGTTCTCTTGGCCCAGAAGGAGCAGGTTACGAATTTGCAGCTATTGCTGCATATGTCAATGGCAGAATCCACTTCTCAGCAGAATTATGTTAATCATCAGGGACTGAATTCACTGTTCAAGCGTGGCTAATGTTTTGGAGAGTGTGAGAGACCAGCTTCTGCTGTATTACAGTTTACCTTGAGTTAAAACTATGTGATGCCTTTTTGAACAAAGTGATAAACTCCAGTGTAATCAAAGTTCAGAGTCAGTAATATTTTCTCTTTCCTACTGTCAAATGTTTTCAAAAGAATGAACAATAACCTGGTGGTTTGTATTTTTACTGCGTTTTTTTCTGGGACTAAGGTATCGCAGAATGTGAATTTTGTCTTGATTTATAGACTCAATCAATGTGAAAATTACAGTGAAAGAAAAAATACTCAAAATTAACTAATTTGGGGACTCTAAAATCGTACTCTTGTGAATATTATTTTTCCCAGAACAATGTGCTTGACAGAAAATAAATATAATGGAACCATATAGCCGGACAGCCTAAATCATCAGCTCACATTCATTCAGATAAATTGTTTCAGAATTAGAGACTCCTGCTTAGAAATAGATCTCAGATACAGCAATTTCTACAAGTTTTTTACCTGTAGTTACTTTGGCCAAACCATAAATTACTTACATTGAGTGGAATGCCAAACGTAATCCAAGTTTTATGGGTTCTCTCCAGATGCTCCAGGTGTAGCTGGCAGAGGCAGCTGGAAGGGCTTGTCCCTAAGCCGCCTTAGCCCGGTAAATTTGTCAGGCTGACAGTTTTTCACCATCAGCTGACAAGCACCTGCTTGTCTCCTTCTAACACCAGTGGCTGGTATTCTTCACCTAAGAAGGGCTGCCGGGGCCATTTCGCCACCTCTCAGGCCACAGTTTCATCCCACAACAGCAAACTTCAAACATTTTTTCTGCTAACTGTACAACTGCTTTTCCAGAGGCCGTGCCCACCTTTAGCTTCAGCATCCATTTCCATTCCACTTCTGTATTAGCCTTTTGTTCAAACTGTTTGACTTCTCCTTTGTTCTGGGCCTTATATACTTTAGTGGCAAATTATAGAGTGTATAACCTTGTCCGTACAGTGCTACAGACCGTGCAATGAAATGTGCATTTACCCTCAGCTGTACTACTGGCATGAAAGCTGGACTGGGCTGGTTGGCCCCTGTTAATAGTGCAGGTTCCCCATTATGCTACTGCATGTAACTTCTCCTACAGAGAAATTAAAACCAGTGTGACATAACAACAGGCCTCCAACAGCATAAACCTGTGAAAATCCACTGACTTAGCTGGACTTTATTATATTCACTTGCATGAAAACTGCATCTGGAGCAGGTTAAGGTTATTAAGTAAAACTGTGTAAGTCTCTGCCAAAGTTAAGTCCTTCTGCAGTGTCTTCATAGCAAAAACCGTGACACTTGTCAAATTTAAGTTGGTAGGCCTTTTGACCTACCGGTACGAGGAATGATGGTGGACACATTTCAGCTCTGCTCATTCTAAATGGTTATGTATACATATATACCAAAACACTGAAAAAAGCCACAGCTGGGTAGGTCTGTGAAGGGCAGGCAGGTGGTTGAAGGCAAGTGTTGGAGTCCAAATGCCTGCTTTTATCTGCTGGCTGAAAGAGTTGTGTTCCCAAAAACATGTGGGCTGTTTCAGAATTCAGCACCAGGGCAACTTATCTGATCAATAGTTAATCTGCTGCTAAAGAGAGATGGAGGGAAAACAAGTTAAATGAGCAGGAACTGTCTGGTTGAAAAAGGACATGGGCATTATCTGGTTCATTTTCTAAAATCAAAGGAAGCATCAGTCTTCCATGCCCATCTGGGTTTAATTACTCACCCTTGTTATCTCTCTGTTCTTGTATTTGATAGAAGTAGAAACTTGGTATCCGTCTCCAGCATTCACATTATTGGTTGCCAGACCAGGTATTAAAGTAAAGATAAGGCCAGGTAGGATACTGTTTGTCAGGGGTTATTAATTGTCGCAGTCAATGGAGCTTGTAACATTTCAGTTTGGCTTTCAGTAAATATTTCTGCAGCATGAAAGATTGCTCTGAGAGTACAGGGCATTTTTTATGGCTTGGTTGGTTTTCTGAGGGCTTAGTCATGTAGTTCCATTTGATTTTAACGGGAAGTGCATGACTAAATTCCACTGCTTTGTAAGGTATCTTTTACAAATGCTTGGAAAAACAGGGCTATTACCTCTAAGTGGGTTTCACAAATGGAGATCTGGTCTTCTCCTTGGCTTCACGCTGCAGTTGTGTTAATGCAACCACAGGTTTTAATGAACACGGCAATTCACTTACGAGCCCTTTGAACAATGATGTTGACTTTCTATTGTGGCTCTTTGCAATGGGAGCGTGCCGGGAACCGGGTGTGACTGTGCTAATTGCCATCGGTACATACGCCGGTTACAATTTGCCCGCGGTGATTCAGTTTTCTACGGCTGCTGTGATGCCCACATATAGCTTTTGGCTCTTCTTATCTGGTGAAATGCACGTTGAAATGATTTGAGAGCAAGGGCAGGTGTTGGGAAAGTGCAAGTTGTACTTTTGTCGGGACCAACCATTGGTTTTGATTTGAATGAAAGGAGCCCTTGCCTCCCTGGTTTGGTTGGGCCAGTCAACGGCAGAGCCTACCGTGCTTTTGCCACCTATTTCTTTCTCAGTTCCTCCCTAGCCACTTGGTCATATGCCGCTTCCACCTTGTCCTGCCTCAGCTTGACAAACCAAAGGCTCAGATGTGCCTTGCGGATGGAGCAGAAAGTGCAACCAAATAGGCATTGCTTTAAACTCTGGCAACCTTGATCAGCCTGCGGAGAGCTGATCTGAAGTCCCGATTGTCTGATTTGGCGGAAAATAGGGACCCTTTCAAGGATCTGGAGGTTTCCTTCTGAAACCTCAAGTAGCATTCATATTAAACATCCTTGCTTCACATGTTTGTGCAGTGACAAGAGTTTGTGTAAGAGAACGCTAAATATTCAAATATTGAAAAACATACACAGTAATGTGTCTTCCCATTGCATTTGTTACAAATGACTAGTAGTGAAGCATATTTTATTTTCAAATTTAGCACTAATATAATACCTGCAGCTGGGCTAAAAGGAAAAAGTCTGCGTGAATATGAGGGAAAAAAAACTAGGGTGGCTTCTTTCTCTATAACTCAGTCCTGGCTCCCAGCCAGGGTTTGAACCCACTTCCCGCAGAGCTGTGCAAGGTCAGGCAGTGCCTCTGCCTGCGTAAGGCTCTCTGCCTCGGAGCCGGGCTGGGAAGTGCCCAGAAGGAGCTGCCAGGGTCGGCTCTTTGCTGTCCCCTGAGAATGAGCAAGCACAAGGGGAGGATGAGTAGGAGACATTCAGGCATGAGGTAAGCCCAAAACTTTGGCAGCCTGAAGAAGTGAGCTGTGCCCTTTTCAGGGGTGGATTAATTTACTTCCCTCCAGGAGCAAGAGGAAAGCAGAGAATGAGTGGTGACTTACTGAATTTCAATTAGATCTCCTTTTAGAGGCTCATAACCTTTGTACCTTCCTACATACAAGGCACTGTCTCAAGGCACACTCTAGTAGTCCCAAGGAAACAAGAGATGGCAACCTTCTGAAAGCCTGACGTTAGCAAAGATACTTAATCTTCCATTCCTGATGTCAATTGTCATATCCATTTGGTGAGGATAATTAACTAGGCATTGGCAATCTGGTAGTTGCCAAGTCCTCCTGAGGGGTAGACCCATGAAGAGGGTGTCTAACCTGCAGGACACTCACGATGGGACCTGTCTCGTCACTCTGCATTGTGTCTGCATGGAGAAGTAATCATAGAATCACAGAATCATAGAATGGTTTAGGTTGGAAGGGACCTTGAAGATCATTGAGTTCCATCCCTCCTGCCATGGGCAGAGACCCCTCCCACTAGACCAGGTTGCTCAAAGCCCCATCCAGCCTGGCCGTGAACACCTCCAGGGATGGAGCTTTCACAGCTTCTCCGGGCAACCTGTTCCAGTGCCTCACCACCCTCAGAGTGAAAATTTCTTCCTAATATCTAATCTAAATCTACCCTCTTCTGGTTTGAAGCCGTTCCCTCTTGTCCTATCGCTATATGCCCTTGTAAAAAGTCCTTCCCCAGCTCTCCTGTAGGCCCCCTTTAGGTACTAGAAGGGTGCTATGAGGTCTCCCCAGAGCCTTCTCTTCTCCAGGCTGAAAACCCCCAACTCTCTCAGCCTCTCCTCATAGAAGAGGTGCTCCAGCCCTCTGATCATCTTTGTGGACCCTCTCCAACAGGTCCATGTCTTTCCTATGTTGCTGCACCTGGTCTTGCGATGGGCTGGCAAGCAGAGCAAAATGGTTTCTGTTATCCCAGCCAGGCTTCCAGGGAAGCCGTGCTGCAGCTGCTCTGGTCAGATCACAGCGGTTCTTGGGCTGCCAGGTGTAGAACCGCCATTTCCTTCCCATCCTGGAAATCCATCAAGAAGCCTCAGGTTTGGTTTAGAGATCTCAGGTGCCAGATGCAGAAAAGGGGATGTTAATGTGGACTTACAGAAGACATATTCCATATGTCTCACCAGTCAAAAGTTAGAGGAAGGTTTTTTCCAACTTTTCGAGAAGTATTCACCCTTTTTTGGGGCTACAGCATGGGAAACAGGAGCCCCAAAGGGACATTACTATGAAGTCTGAAAATGCAGATTTGTCTTTGAAGTTGTAGTGTATCTCAAATTTGGTAGGATCTACCACATTTCTGAAGAATTCAGGCTTTGATGAAAATAAAAGTGCCAGTTTGGAAAGCATTTGGGGATTTTTCAGCATGACAGATGCTACTGCGTAAGTGTAAGACTATTATCTCCTTATATATGTGGGTAGCTGTCTTATAAAAAGGTATTTTGACTTACCAAGTCACTGCAACAAAGCGAAGTGTGCAGACACAATACTCGACTGCCCCCAATGCGTATTTCACCTTTATTAAATCTTATTACAATTAAAATCTTAACTTCTTTTCTAGCACAAACACTCTGTGTGTGTAAGAATACATGCAACAGCAAGTAAGCCTTTTAGCACATTATTAATCACCAAAACTAAGGATTAGTAAGAAACACATTTGCATTTTATCTCTAATTTTTCCTTTTTTCCCCCCTCCTTTTTTCCCTTGCAGGCACAGCTGTCTCAGGCTTTAAATGGTGTTTCAGATAAAGCAAAGGAAGCTAAAGAATTTTTGGTTCAGCTGAAAAATTTATTGCAGCAGATCCAGGTAACTGTAGAATATTAGCTGTTTTGATAATACAGTAATCAATAGAACTGAGTGAATAATTTATTTGATGACTTTGCCTTCTGTGCTATTATCATCTTTCCTGGAATCATCTAACCTTTCTTGAATGGATTTGCTAGGCAAAATTATTCATCAAATAATGCCTGCAAGACCCTCTTTGCTTCTAGATTGTTTGCTGTTTATTTCAAGAAGTTGATACTCAACACTGGACATCTGAGCTGTGTTGATTAGTATTTGATTGAATCCATTGGTCATGCTTCTGGCCTCCTTCCTGACTGCAATTGCTTTAATTGGGCATGTAGGATAAGTTCTCATTTTAACACATTCAAAATTTACTACTTGTTTTTCATTTTACGGTTCCTAAAAATGTAGTGGTTTCTGGAATAAATGCAGTCAACCTGTTTACTAGAGTATTTGTGGGAAGTCAAAAAACAGAAGAAGAAACAAGCGCTGCTAAAGCAATGTGGTCGTTTATTGAAGCAGAAGATGTTTTCATGCCTGTAATTTCCCAGCTTTAATAGTCACTCATGGTGAGTGCAGTAATTGAGGGCACAAACCCAAAATGTCACAAGTGCCATTTTCAACCAAATTTAGACTCGTCAGTGCTGGAGGTCAGATGATCCTCAAGGTCCTTCTCACCCTGCAGAGTGTGGCTGAAAATGTGCTGCTGTAGTTTGAGCTGGAAAGTGCCCAGGAGGGGACATTTGTTATCCACAGCGGTGGTGCTCTGCGGTGGTGCGCTTTCTGGGGGATATACATCATCTGTTCTACGATATACTTGCTCTGTTGCTTGCTCATCTTCCATCAACAAGCAAGTCCTGTTCCTGTTACTAACAGAAAGCCACAGCAGAAGTTCAAAAATCTGTATTTGGTTTAGAAGGTAATCATTAAAATTCCACTTAACACTCCAGATGATGAATTTGTACCCCAAATGCTGCTCAAGCTCTCAGGTTGCCACAGGGCAGCATAGCTACCCACCCTCACAGTGGGGAAAGCAACAAACCAAGATAGGGAAAAAAAAAAGCACATCTAACAGAAAGAAAGCAGTGCAGAGCCACCAACTGGCACCTGTCACATGCCATGTTTTACACACAGTGTGAGGTTTCTCTCAGCTGACTTTACCTGTTTAAAAGTTATGCAGCTCGTCGAACCTCGTCATTTAGGCTTCTTTCACTGTCCAAGGGGAAGGACAGGCACCTCTAGAGAGCAGTTCTTCCAACAGGTGTGAAAAGCTGTTTTAGGGTGGAATAACTCATCCAAAACAGTAGTCTATCACCAATCTTGTCTTGAGTCACCTAGCTCCATTAAAAATGTATTTTTCCTTTCTGAAACCTAAAGGTGGCCTATTATGACTATTTATGACTACGCTGTAAAATCCTTTAATGTGTTTCAATAAAATCACTGCCAAATTGCTCTGCATAGGGGAGCTGCTACAATTAGATCAAAAGACCAAGCCATTTCTTTGATGCTGCTCATTGCTTACAATGCTAGAGGAGGACTCAGAAGAGGAAATTGGATCCAGCAATCACCCTCTAACGTTGAGGCATGTCTGAGTGCAGTGCTGAATCTGACCCTCACACGTTGAGCCTGTCGCCAGCGTGAGTCTGAGTGAGGACATCAAATTTCAGCAAACTAAAACCGCAGGACTAATAAGCTGCACATGTATTCCTAAGTAAAACAAGGCTAGGGCACAGCTCTGAGATGATCCCCCGCACCCTTTAACCCTTAATGAGCTCCCTGGCGTGGTTTTCTCCCATGGCAAATTGTAGTCTTCCCAGGTGATGCTCAAGAAGCATTTGATGATAGCACATAGCAGGGAATACTCCTTATAGGCAGATTTGGTACAGCCATGCTATTGGAGGGGAAACGGTTTAGATCTGTCATGAGCCGATCTGTGCCTTTTGGCATCCGGACCAAAAAAACCCAGTTCTTGGACTTATTTGGGGCGGAACAGATGTAGCCTTTGTGTGTAAATTTATACTCAGAACCATGTATCTCAGAGCAGGTTATTTCTAGTAGAAGTCTTATGATGGTTGCCACACACACATACAGACATTTACCCCTCAGCAAAAATGTCTTTAAAATGTGTGTTTACACAAAGGAATGAGCAAAACGTACATTTTATTATCCTGTTTCAATGCACAGCAGACCAGACAGCCATCTGCACTCTTTATCTCCTCTCTGAGTTTGCCAGAGCTACCAGGACCTGTGCTTTGATCTTGCCTGGGGCAGTTTACAAATTCACAATCTACTTTTCTTTTCCCTGCTTTGCAGATCTCATTTCCCCCACTTTTTTCCTTCCCTTCTCCTTTCTGAGGTCACTTTTAAATCTCTTGGTCTCTTCAGAAACTGCCTGTTCCTCGCTGCCCCTGTTGCTTCCTTGCTCCTCCTCATTGCTGTCATTATCTGATTTTCACATTTTCCCATCTGCTGTAGCAATTTCATCCTTTCTCACTTGAAAGAGGCATATCGCCAAACACCCTGTCTGATGTGCGAACAGAAAATGAGGAGAGAAACGATGCACTACAGCCATCGCTGTACAGCGTTCAGGCGCTGTACGCAAACCAGCACTTCAAGAGTGGCTGGATGGAAGTGGGCTTAAGGGGGAGTGGGGTGTGATATAAGCCGAGGAGGGAGAGACGCAAACAGGAAGAGTCTAAGTCAAACCTGTGAAGAGTAACTGAGCTGTCTGGTGTCTGTCTGCCCACCCATCTTGCTGGCAGGTCTAGGACTGCGGCGGGGGCCTCTCAGGGAAGAGCTACCCTGCATCCATCAGCTGGAGAATGGGATGCATGGATCACAGTGGGAGAAGGGAGTACAGTGCTGAAGATTTTGCTCTCAAAAGAATCAAGACAAAGCAATGAACAGAAAAGAAGAGCATAACCAAAAGAACTAAGAGATAGTAATGAGTTAAAGGCCTGTGACAGTTTACAACAGAGATGTTTCTCTTTAAAATATTCTCACATTCAATGCTGCTTTTTTTTTTTTCCTTTTTAATTTGGGTATTTGGGAGGAAAGCTGCTAGGACAACTGAACATCTCCTGGGAAGAGGAGCCTGAATACTTTCTCCTTCATCTAGTCTCACGAGCAGAGGAAGCAAGGGAGAGCCCTTCTTTGAATGGGTGCTACAGCATCAGTTCCACGGCCAGAGAAAGCCATCCCCAGGAGGAGGGGCAGCTCAGGACCTTGTAGTACCATCTACTCAGATTTCTCCATCAGCTGTGGGATTCTGTGGTAGCAGGGTTTGGTCCCCATTGATAGGACAGGGGTTTATGATACCCAGGCCCTGTGCAAGGCTCAGTGGGGACAAGTGTTGTACACCTCAGATGCTGGCCTCTACCTAGCAGAGACTTTTACCACAATGTGAATAAAAAATCTGCCATGTATTTATTATTTTTTTAAAGCTCACCAAATATATGTATCCACTGTCAAGCACTAGCTATTTTTAAAATCTACTTGAGGCAATACACAAAATCTCAGGGCTTTGCACCTGATTAATTTCCTTGTAGTAAGCCTGTAGACCAGTTTCTGGTTCATAATTCTCTTCTAATTGTCATGCTGTAGAGCCAGTGATTTCAAAGTTGTTACAGGGGGGTAATTGAAAGAGGGGGGCAGAACTAACTTACGTATATCTATGCACTGTGTATGTTTGGCTTAGATTTTGCATTATGTCGTACTACATCTGTTGCCTGGAAAGTGCCAGTAAATCAGGGTTTTAAATAAGCTCATTTTGTGGCATAGCATCTTACTCTTTCGTTTCATAGCATGCAGCTATTACTGGTACAGCTATAATGAAATCAGAAAGGCAACAGAGATGCCGAAGTCTTGAAAGGAAGTATTTTCTGAACAGAAAACCAGGTAAGAATGAACAATAGCTTAAGGTGTAAAATATGCTTTCTTTGATGAGTATGACTCTCGCCTTCTTTTAGGAGAATGGTTTGGATTATGAAGCCTGTCTTGTCGCTCAGTGTGATGCCTTGGTTGATGCGTTAACGCGACAAAAGGCGAAACTGCTCACAAAGGTGACCAAAGAACGTGAGCACAAGCTGAAGGTGAGCACAACTCTCATCAGCTGAGCACGGCTGTCGATACCTTGTGTTACTGTGCATTTCGTTAAGTCCCCAGCCCTTTATGCTCTGAAAATTCCTAATGACTAAATCCTAAAATCCTTCAGCAGATTCCAGTTCAGCAGTTTGTTGGAGCTGTGCTTATACACTTAAAATTAGACATATACTTCAGCAGTTCATTGAATCAGGCCATCAGTCTTGGTTTCGCTGATGGTTTTGGGCTGTCTTTTGAGGTACCTGTCAGTGAAACCCATGTGGTTTGGATTCTAGGGCCTTCCAAATGCAAGAAAGCCCTTCTGCCCAAGTAGAATGTTGGGATTTTGGTGTCTCTTCAAACCTTTGAAATTCAGGCAAGCCACCCCCTGGAAATCCGCGTGCTTATTCAAAAAGTATTCAAGAAATGCAGTAAAGGGGCGTGGGAGAAGAAAGCTATAAATGGTTGAACAAGGTGGCAGTCAAGAAATGTTTAAATAGACACATTTCTTGCAACGTCGAACTGCATATGTGATTTTGAGGTATTATAGTGCTAGTAACATTAACATATCTAAGACAGAAGGAAAAATTGAAGTGAAAAACCTAACATGACAAACAATGAATAAATCTACCTGAGATCAGCATTTAAAAAACCCCATGTTTAACAAGAACCAACACTTCAGACAAACTGCTAACAGCACAGTTAATACTGCAGTTTATTGTTTTTTGGCTGTTGCACTTCAGGAGTTGTGCTGTCGAACACAGTGCTGTTAGGCCCAGTCTACAGCCATGTGGCAGCAGAATCAAGTCCAAAATCTGGAAAAATGAGATGCTGCTTTTTATTTCTTAATCCCAGCAATGTGTTCTTAAGCAGAGCAGGATAAATGGTGAGTTGTGAAGGGAATGGTCGAGCATAATCTGCAAGAAACCACTTCTGCAGTTATTCTGTATAATATTTGCCTTTTAAGTGAAGGATTTTTTAGAAGCTCAGATTTTAGTGAAAGCGTGATTGTAAATGTGAATACTGCAAATGCAGAAACATGTTCTGTGCTCTTTCTGCCCCAAGCAAGCCTGATCTTTGAGCAATTAATTTGGTCTGAAAATTGAGATTCCCTGTGCACAACATTTTGCCAAGCTAATTATCAGTATTTACAATACAGAGCAAGTGAGTGTAGCTGATGGAGATACGGCAATGGCCATATGGCAGCTAAATTAAGCATAGCTTTAACACACTCTTTTATTTGTTGTCTCTTCTGAAATAGTCTTATACAATAAAATTATAAATTCATTGTAAGCTGAGGCAGTCATCAGAACTGTCCTAATGCTTGTTTTCCAGGTTGTTTGGGACCAGATAAATCACTGTACACTGAAGCTGCGCCAGTCAACAGGGCTTATGGAGTACTGCCTAGAAGTTATCAAAGAAAATGATCCCTCTGGGTTTTTACAGGTATTTTTTTTTTCCAGTGTTCGGGGGGAGTAAAAAGAAAAGACATTGAAGTTAAATCTAAAAATGGGTGGCTTTGCTAATTAGCCTCTTTCACCTCCGAGACAGGTTCAGCTGAACTCCTGTTAGTCCTGTCTAAAAGCTCCGATAGGGTGGTGACTGCATGCGTGTCCCTGCGAAGGGATGGCTGTGAACAGCCGCACTCTGATCAAGGTGTGGAGTTAGCGGTCACACCACTTCCCTGACTGCTGACGTCTTTCCTCTTGCCAGCCCTTCCTTCTGAGCTGAAAGAGAGGTGCCATGCAGTTCATGATAACTTCCTCCGGAATATTATTTTATTCTCCTCCAAGAAACCCAACACAGGGCCTCACAGAGCTCCCCGATCAATTTGGAAAGGTCTGTGGCTCAACAGAGTAGTACTTCTCCCCCTTTTTGCTTCTCCCCTTTGCATTACTCTTTCCAATGTGAAGGAGTCCGTTCAACATCTCCCCTGTGAGGAAATCCAGCCTTAAGGGCTCACATGTAGCTTTGCTTCCCTGGGGCTGTCGCACCTCATAGGGCTACAAGCCCTGTCTTGTAGCTGGAGGATCCAGGTACCCCCTCTTTGCAAAATATGGCCTAGCCAACAATTGCCTTAATTTGCAGGGGACTGTTGCTTAGGTGCAAGCAGTGAAAGCGTCTATTGATGAGATAAAACATAACAGTTTTATTATCCAATCAATTATTTTGCCTAATTAATTATATGATTTTATTAATTATTTTATTTTGGCCTGTTAGTTTTGTTGCCTTATTAATCGCCTAAGAAGACAGGCTCATCAAACAAAATGATCTGCATGTGGCTGTCAGCGGAACAGGGCACACTGCACACATAAATGCATGAGTGTCAGGGGGCTGTCACAGCATCCCTAAAAACCAGGATGAGAATTAGCCAACTTAAACCTATTAGCACTCCAGATTGATTGTTACTGTCACGTCTGGTCTCAAGCAAGAGCTGGGAGTGTGTGGTGTATATTAATCTCAAGACTACGCAGATTTTAGCAGGCTGTCGATTGGATACTGCAGGACAAATGAAACCTTGAGGTCTTATCTACATGCTAGCTACATACATACTTCATTGTCATTTCAGCTTACTTTTCCTATAATCTTTGTGGCTTTGCTCTTTGCAGTCACCTTTTATATAAAAAATACTTTTGTTTTTACCTTTTCCTGGTTTATCCAATGATGCTTTCAAGGCATCCAGCCATCACTGGGGCACTGCATTACTTAGAGTGCCTGCTCCTGCAGCCAAGACATTGAAACACAGCCAAGGGATCCAGCATCCCAGTAAGTGACCCCAAGGTTGTAGGTAGGATATGAGATGCTCCTCCACTTACTGTACAGACTGATTAGGAGCTGTTGCTTCAGGGGCTCAGACAGGAACGTCTGCCAGTGACAGCAATGAGGAAAGGTATCCGAACTTCTGCAATAAAGAAAAACTCTCTCTGACTTACCCAGAAGAAAATTCTGCTCCCTTGACTTACAGAAAGCTCACTGGGAGGGACCCCAGGTATCCAAATGGCAGCTTCACTGAACTCAAGGACAGGTGAGTTCGTTGATTTCCACAGAGCCAGGATTTCACTTCAGGAAGAGCCCATTGCGATCATCTTAGTCTGACTTTTGGCCTAATCATCTGCAGGCTGAGTTAGAGCAAAGCTTTAAAAATGAAATTCAGTTTCGATGCAGTGATAGAAAATGCATCACGTTCTTCAAAAATCTGACAACTTAGCACCCTCCCTGTGAGAAATACACACCTTCCTTCTCATTTGATTTTTTTATTCCTTTCAGCTTTCATCCACTGAGCCATCTCTGCTGAATGGAGAGACTTTCTAACATTTAAGCCTCTCTTTGTGTAACTGCTTTTTAAACAGGAGAGCAAAACTAGACTGCAGATCGGAGAACAGAGTGTAGAAGTATATATGGCATTCAAAGGCATGATACGTAACGTAATCTTAACAGGCTTTATAAATGTGATTTTTACTTTCTTACCCCAAGATGAGATTTGCTTTGAAAAGACCAGAGGAAAGGATCCAACATAAATGGACCTCACCCCAAACCGACCAGATCCTGTCTCAGCTGTTGTGCAGTGATATTCCTGCTTTCCTTTTGCTGTATCTCGCAGGCGTTCTGTCACTTTTAAGGGGTGCATCTGCCATTTAATTATAAGCCTGATACTCTCTTTCAGATTTCGGATGCATTAATCAAGCGTGTTCAGGTATCTCAGGAACAGTGGGTCAAAGGAGCCTTGGAGCCAAAAGTGTCTGCTGAGTTTGACTTGACTCTGGATAGCGAACCTTTACTGCAGTCGATTCACCAGCTGGATTTTATTCAGATGAAATGTAGGGGTGAGCTTTTATGATTTTCTTTTTTCTGTTTTTCGTGCCTGTGTTCAAACAGTGCTGGGAGGGTCGGGAGGCAGGGAGGGAGGAAAGAGGAGTGACTTGAAATTACTGGGTAGTTTTAAAAGGTTTTCAAGCAAATTCAGATTACTGGGTGTTTCCTAGAAGGATGCGCTCACCTCACATGCAGTGACCTGACAAGCTTAGACAGATGTACCAGGTGCAGTTAAAGATTTGAAAAGATAAATTCTTCAGACTAAGGCTGTCTATCAGCTTTGAAGATTAAAAAGACATTAGGTGCATGAAAGTTTATGCCATTTTACAGCATTGCTAGATTTAACACGGTTAATTCAAAGTACCAGTTACCCCTATCTTGTCAGCTGAAGGAGTAAATAAATATTTGCAGACATACATACTTGAATAGGGAAAAAACAAACCAACCCTTTGACTTATATCTGGACTGTGCTGTGAACAGTGCCCAGCTTAAAAAAATTCATGAGGCAGAGATTCACAGGGGAAAAGTAGCTTCATGGCTGTATTCTTCCTTGATTCCAGGTATCTGAACAATTCCAAGGGACACACTAAAGGCAAAGGAGGCTAAAAAAAAAAGTATTTTAAAGCAGAAGCTGATGAACAGTAGATGCCATTAGCAAAAAAAAATTAATAAATTAACATCACGCGCTTGTAACAAGCTTGGTTTGTATGGAGCAGGATGAGAACTGCATCAGAATTAGATAGATCCATAGACCGGCTACATTTGAAGGCCATTGTGGTCCCTGGGAATGATGCCATTAGCTTCCCTCAGTGGTGATTTAAGCCTGAATTATCCATGTGGGTGAGAGGGTAGAGGCTGCCAGAAGTCAGTGAATGAGTTAAGGGTAATCGTGTGGTGATGCCAGATGTGCTTTCTTTTGACTCCAAGCAAGCATAAAGCTTTCTGTTCAGTTTATCTGTCCTCTCTGGGCCTAATTCTGAACCTAAGAGACCCAAGATAAACTAATTAGGGTGGATATTTTGGAAGATAAATATGTGGATAAACAATGGATAAACAGCTAAAGGCCAAAGTCTGCTCACCAAGAATGGTTTGCATCTTGGCATGAACGGGCTGTGTTAAAGTTACACAAATAACACCTGTGAACTGCTCCTTTGAAATGTTAACAGCCAGGAAAGCGGGGTCAAGTAAGAAAGGGTCTCACTGAAAAAACTTCTCCGAATACTGTCTGCACTTGTCTTTTAAAATCCGTTTATATTTAATTTATATTTATCATTAAATATATTTAATACTAATCTTCCACCACTCTCCTTTGCAAACATATAAAGAATTTAGTTGAACTATCCACTTAGATTGCTAATTAACCACAGGTCACTTGAGGTGAGAGCAGCTTAGGTATTTGGCTTCTGGACATTTGTCTGGCTTTAAGCTTGAAGACTTAGAGACTTTAATTGAGCCAGACTCACTGGAGCTTTATGAAAGACAGTGCTGTCTGTTTATGCCCTCATTTATCATACGATCGCAGTGAAGCTCTGATACGGAGCTAGACCCCGTCTGAGGAGCAGAGAAGAGGACAGGACTGCTTCTGCCCAAACCTGCACAGAGCTTACGAACACCCCTGAGCTTTTCTCTCCAGGTGCATCTTAACAGTCAGACCTCAGAACGGGATTTTCCTTGAGCTGTCTTAGCCTCGACCAGGGAGTACCTGCTGCGTGTCCCATCAGGTTGCTCAGTACAACTGGTGTGGCCATGTACCTGCCATGCAAAAAATGGTGGAAATGCTATTTATCCTGGCCACCATTCCTTCATAAGGGACTGCATTACTCCTCCTCACACCTCTGTGTGCCCAAGCAGTACAAGCCTCTGAGTGGTCCCAAGCTAACTTTCATAGCTATTGGGGATTGTTTAGTATATAGGGGTGTATTTATATTTTTCAGTTTATGACTGCAAATCTATTTGTATTTGGACTGCTCAGTCTGACACTTTGGCATTTTTTTTCTGAAATTTACTTTTGTGACCTCAACCAGCTCTGCGTTATCTTCTCAGGCACAGTGGTCTTGCATCTAGAAATCCAGGTACCGCAGAGTAAGCAGCTCAGCGTTTCAGCAGTGAGCACCCAGACTCACTGGGAACATCGCTTTGCTGACTGTGAGGGGAAGCTGGTGTTGCACAGCAATGTTTTGCTTTTGATCACCATCTGGGCTTGTATATTTCTGAGCCTCCAGTTTCACAAAGAAAAATCTATGTGTCTTTTTCCATCTGCTTCTTTTTCCAATCCTACCTACCCCAGTGCACCAACAAGTCATCAGTCTTTGCCAAACGTTGGTGTTGAGAGGAGCGTTATTAAGTCACTGTACTGGTTGATCTGACAAGAGCAGATGCGTTAAAGACATCAGAGATGATCTGTAAAGGGAATTTGGGGAACCATAGGAGAATAAGGCCAGCATCGCTTTTCCAACAGCAAGTTGTTTTGTTCCAAAAGCTTTGCAATGTAAGGTTTGTACTATTGTTATCGATGCTTAGTGCATGACTGAATTCCTTTTTTTCTTTTTTTTTTTTTCAAACTCTGGCCTCATTCAACCTCAGTGAGCTTGCAAGGGTCATTTAGAGTGAAAGCATGCTTGTAAGTAAACATTGATTCACTGTGTTAGACAAAGAATGAAAATGAGAACAAATCACATTACATTTGCTTTGATGACTCGTTCATGTACCTCACTGGTGGACTCTGTATAAGCCCGTACCTAAAGCTAATCTCAATAAATAAAGGTCAGGGGGTGTTTTTTCTTTTTACAGAACGAAAAAGCAATTTGGTGACAAATTAAATGTGCAGAAATGTGATAGGTGCAGAAGTAATGCTTAAGCAGTCATGTTGACCAATGGGTCTCACTGACAGCCCTTTGGCAAGAGTCCCACGCTCCCCAGGCTAGCTGACCTGCTGAGGCACACACACAGCTCTAGTAATTGCTGGCATTTTGAGCTTTCCCAGATCGCTTTCTTCTGTCCATGTTTCCTTCTCTCTATTGCTTTCACTGAGTGCCACAGCAAAAAAAGTTCCTGTCCTCTTTGATGGCTGGCTCAATGCGTACATCCCATTTCCTCAGTTTGATCTAGGGGCACATATATGTGTCCTGGGTTTGATCTGTTCAAACAACAGAACTGTCATGCAATCTTGGTTTGTTGTAAAACAGAGACTAGGTACAAAATAGGAGAAAATATGGCTACTCTCTACTTTTCTGTACCATCTCTGAATACGCACTCATGCCCCTTCTCCTTGTCAGGAGGGACTCCTTCCCTCTTCTGCAAACCAGTCCATGAAGATGCCCCAGACATGTCTCCTGCCACAAATCTCTGCCATGAGCTGCCCAGCTCTGATAATGAAAGAGTAACTGTTTCATCATAGGCTTTATCCCCCGTTCTGTCTGCTCTGAGTCATGGACGCAGGTCATTGCCTGTGGTCTGTCCTTCTCTCTCGATAACACTGTTTGTAGGGCACTTGCTACAACAGTGACTCAGGCTATTACAGGACCATACTGCAGCTTTGGAGGAGGTCAAAGTTTTCGTGTTTCTGAGGGTTTCTTTCACTGCATTTAGTCCTTTAAAAATTAATCTGGGAAGGTGCAGGGCATCATTGCACAACTTGCTTGCCAAGAGGACAAATAACAGGCAACATCTTAGAACAGCCCTACTCTACACTGAGAAGAGATCAGCTCTGAGATGCATTGAGTAGTGTGTTTTTGAAACTGCTGAGTTGACGTGAGACATCAGTATCACATTTTTTAGCTAAGTGTGACCTGAATGAAGCACTTTTTAAATAGTAGGACATCATTCAGACTCATTAATAGGTCTTGCTGTGCCAATTCAGTGTCATTTCTCCCTATATATTTTTACTCTTTTCCTTCAAAAACTCTCTAGAGGACTTTAAGTTGAACAAGAAGTGGGACAGTACAGTAATTTAACATCTGAGTCTTCTTTTTTTTTCTGACACTTAGCCTATATTTTTCTCTTCTTAGTCGTGTCCCGTTGCTCTTCACTATGAAGTATATCCCAGTGTGCCGATTATTCAACTCGCTTCGCACTTTCCTATGACTTTTGTAAGTGTTCACCTTTTCTCCTCTGAGAGGGAATCTGAGATCAAGGCAAATCTCTGCCCATTCTCTGTCCAGGGGAGGAGGCAGGAGGGCAGGCACAGCGAGCATCGTCCAGCAAAGCTGCACCGATGCTTGGTGGGAGCATCTTGCCCCTCCTTCAGCTACTGTAGGTTGTGCAGTTCAGGCCACTGGTTGACCCAAAGGGAGTAGGAGGGTGATAAGGATTAGTCACAAAAACTTAAATGTCCAGTGACACAGTAAAGAAGCCCAGGCACTTCCACGTACTGCCTGTGACTCCCACACGTAGGGCCAAAATTCACACTGCCCCTGGGAAGTGGAAACAACAGCACTGTACCATATGAAAACATTTTCAATGCTATTCAGCATTCCTGTTTCCAGAATTAAAAGGGACCTGTAAAACTCCTACCCTCCCCCAAAAACTGTGCTCTTTTTTTTCAGTGTTGTGCATTACATGATCAGTCCTTGAAATCCTCCCATCAGTGTTCCTAGGAGATTTTTGCAGGGAGTTGGAGAAGTTAGTGGTTTATTCAGAGGTGAGGAGGTATTGTTTATTTTGCACTTCACAAACTTCAGGAATTAGGTTTTCATCCAGTTTTGCCAGAGGGAGTTCTCAGAATCGGGGAGGACCCAGCGAATGCCTCCTGAGAGGGTTAAACTGGTTAGCTAAAGTGGCAGGAGTGTGGATGGCTGATACAACCCTATCTTCTCCCAACCTCATCAATCACTGGAAATACACAGACTAACAAACACAAACAAACCCCCAAACTTAAAATGGTTCATTTAAAAAATCCCATTACCTCTGAATTCCTTATTGTCAGGTTTTAGACTCCTGTAATGGCACATTTCTGTTACTTCTCCAGACACAGCGTCTCCTCGAGAAAAGCGTGATCTTTCCATGTGAAAAAACAAGCAGGTTTTTATTTATGACATCCTGTGAATCATCCTTAAATATCAAGGAATAGGAACAAGGCTTTTTTTTTTTTTTTTCTCTTTTCACAGAAAAACCTTCAAGAGCTAATTTATAAAGCTCTTTTGTTTCAGACCACAGTCATTCTTCTGGGCTACCAACCATCCGTGTTCACCGTGGTGATGGATAGTGGCAGCGGAAAGCCGCGGTAGCTTCTGCACTGTTTATCACAAGTGTGGTGTTGGCTTTTGTGTCAGTTCCAAAGTGGGGGTGAAGCCTTAGCCCCATCACACAGTGGCATCCACTTTCCCACAGCGTGCTTGGTACACAAAACGCAAACAGCCCTCTTTTATCCAGAGAAGTAAAATAGGCCGAAAGGAACAGCTCAAGGGCTTAGCTCTCACACAGACAGAGGGAGGAAAATAAACTAGAGGCTCAAAGCAGAGTAGATAAAAGAATAGCAAACTGATGTTGTTAAGAGCTAAGTCAATGAATGCTCAGAGCACTCAGCTGCTTTTATGACACTGTTGAGCTCTGCAAAAATGATCCTGAACAGTGAAATTCAGCCTTGAGCAGAAGACCAGGCAGGGTCTATGCATTGCTTACATCCCACTTACCTGTGTGATTTCAACGGTGCGTAAGATATATGCCAGATCCCTCCAGGAGGCTGAATTTTCACTTTATAATTTCCAGCGAAGAGTGAACGGTGAGAGTTTAGTTGTGTTTAGCAGAGAAGGAGTGGTGGAGGCCTCTTTCCCACAGAGGTACGGCTGAGTGTTTTACTCTGTTTATTTTTATTTTGAAGATGCTGGTCTGGTCAACAGTATCTTGGTGTTTCTCCTGAGCGAGTCACTAAAAAGGCATGTTGGTAGATAACTTTGCACCTGTAATTTCCAAGAGGAGAGCACCACAAGCAATCATCTCCTGCGGTGCAGAAGTTCCTTTTGCTACCCAAACCAAGGGATTTAGATAAAATTTGCAAATGGAACAATTTTCTTCAACAGTTCTTTTTAAGTATGTCTGCCATAAAGATGACATATCCGAGGTGGTTTTGATGAAAAACTAGGGGTGGGGAGGGGTGGTGGTAAATTAAATTTAAAAAAGCACCCAACAAACTATTGTGAAGAATTGTTTTCCTTCTGTTAGTGGAGTTCAGGCTCTATCTCACTGCCGTGCTGGGCAGAGTGGCTGCTCTGCTGGTTAATAACCCAATTCTTCCTTAATGAGCTGGGCTGCCTGGCAGCACTGCATCTCTCGTGTTGCCTCATGATCTGAGACACTCCCTGCCACCACTGCTCCCTCTCTCCTTTTGGGGACCGTGGGGGCAAAGTGCTCTAGTGTGAGAAAAAACTCTTCCAGCCCATTTCCTGGGAAGGAAACCAGACGTGAGGTCTGTAGATTGTAGTTCTTATCAGGCACCAGAAACATGTCCAGATGTGTTTCTATTTATGTATTTCAGCCAAATGATTTGTCTGAGTAATGACATTTTGTTATATCGTTTTCACTGCCTTTTGTTCCAAGGAAGGGAATGGACTCTCTTCCTAATGAATATTGACTCCCCTGCGAGGGGAAGTGACTGGTCATCACGTTGCCTGCGGCACAGATTGATGGGGTAGGGCAGAGTTACACTAATCTGTACCCAGTTCCTGTTACAGTGCCACCCGTCCCATTACTGCAGCTGGAGAAGTGTTGCACCAGAAACAACAGTGTGACATTGGCCTGGAGGATGCCACCTTTGAGCCACAACCCGGTGGAGGGTTATATCTTGGAACTTGATGATGGAGATGGTGGCCAATTCCGAGTGAGAATTTAATTCAGTATTTATTTGTGTTTCTTTGTATACGAGTTTCCTCAAGATATGGATTTGTGTCTGTCTGAGGGTGGGGAGAAGGGGTAGGGAAGATATGGGTTGTCAAAATGTCCCTATTTCTGTCACATGGATGTAGAAAGCCCCAGGTGCAGATGCTGCTTATTAGATGGACTCCCAGCTTGTGTAGGAAGTTTGGTTGAGGTTATTCCTGGGGCTCTGGCAAAGAGTGCCTTGCTGAAGTGAAAGGTGGGATTTCAGGTCACTACTACATCTACTGTGTGGTCCTCCTGGAGAACCTCCCCCCCCGCCCCCAACAGAAAATCCCATACCACTACAGAAGCTGAAAGTTGTTCCTTCCATAAACCAGAGATTTCTTTGAAGCCCCTGCTCTCATCTGTCCATAGCACCCCATTTCAACAGCTGAGATTCTCGGTCCAGAAGTGCAATGCAATTTTTCCTGGTTTTCTGAGTAAAAACGTGATCCTGCATAAAAATACAGGATTTCTAATTCTTTTCTCTGGGAGTGGATGAGACCAGGCTGGTGGAAGCTTTCTGCAGATACTCTGCAATGGGGTTGGTAAGTACAAGAAGGCGTCCTGGGTGCCGTCCTTCCAGACCTTCAGGATGATGCCACAACTGCTTGCTCCTGCCTGCGGGTGCAGGCTATTTCTAGGCTCCCTTCCCCTCCTGCCACATCCTGATGAAAAAACCTACAGAATTCATTCAATCAGCTTCTGCCAGCCACATCCTGCTGCGTCCCTTCCTCTTCAGGCAGGCTTCATGCTCCTGTTGCTCCAGGACCAGGCTGGCCCAGCTCATTGCCTAAGGGCTAGTGCCTTGAAAGCATCTGGAGACCATTGTGGAGCACAGCTGCTCTCTTCACAAATGGGAAATTTTGCCAAAAACACGTGCTGGCATTTCTTTGGGAGCTGCAAACTGGCTTCCCACTGGAAACCTAAAGGTTTCTCAAGCTGAAAGTGGCCTGGCACTGGTCCACGTAAGGAACTGCTTCCCTGTGCCAAACTGCTACACCCATAGCCAGCAAAGGCACCTGGTTTGGATGCCCCTCATTAGAAGAGACAGCAATATTGGCAGGGCGTTTTGAAGAGGGCACTGTGTTTCTGGAAGGTCTCCTCAGTTCCTTGGTCCAAGTGTCATTCCACATGGGTTTGAAGAGGCTGGTCTCCGCTACTGAAAGCGTGAGACGGTACCTTTGTGAACAGCTGCTGGGAGCTGCTGCTATAGTTAATATTAGTAGGTCAGAGTGCTGTTAGTGCATGATGAATGAAGAGTTAGGAACAAGGTGTTATGAATTCCAGTCTCTTGGATAAAACTTTTCAAGGGCTATTCATATCTAAATAAATACTTGTGAATAAACAAGATTTCAGGCAGCTGTGTATCCAAGCCCATTTGTATGGGGGATTTGTAACTGGCAAAGGTTTTAGGATTGCCAGCTCTGCCAGGTCAGGATTTTGGATTGAAAAATATACAAAACCATCTCGGTCCTTAAAAATCTAGGGTGACAACTTCTAAGGGGAACACTTTGCTTGCTGTGTTAGAAACACCCTCAGTTTTACCCATTGAAAGATAAACTGCAGGATTCTCAGCAACGCCATTTTAATAAGAGTTTGCTGACCCATTTCAAGACGGGTTATATATCTGAAAGTAGTGACACTGACTGCACCTTATCAGTATTCAATGGATTTAAAGAATGTTTTTTGTCACCCATCATAGCAGAGGGCATCAACCTGAATAAACACAAATGGTGAACGGTGGTAAAAATATGAAATGGATTAGAAAATGTGAGAGTTGTCCTACAAATACAACTTTTTTTCACAGACAGCATGTGTTATAACATGGAGATAAATTAAGCTATTCCATTAAAACTCTTCCTTCTCTCCGTGAAAGATGATCAGCTAACTCAGGACCCAAGAGATTTTGTTATTTGTAGCAGCCACCATGGTAGCAAAGTGGACAAACACATGGCCCGCTGTAAACTTCAGTAATCCCTTTCTTATTCATCACATATTAATTTACTTGAGGTTCGTATCAAAGATCCTTAATCAACAGGACTCCTCTTAGGCATATACGTAAGTGTCTTAACTGAACTGGAGCTTGACTGGTCTGCTTAGTCACAGCCTTAAGCTCTTTATGCCCTTGGCTACCATAAATCTATGGATTTCACAGAATTGGAGAAATCAGAGGTGGAAAGGAACTATGGCTTTCAACCCACTGCCAAGACAGGATTTTTTCCTTTTCTGTAATTTTCTGTTGCTTTTTTCCATTTTCCAACAAACAAGGTTTCTAGGCTTCTTTCAGTTCATCACAGACCGTATAATCTAACTGATCCTCTTCATTAGTCTGCCTAGATGTTCCTTCTCCTGAAATATTTCACATTACACAAGTGCTTGCTGTTTAATAAATCTTTGCAGACTTTTATAATCTCTCTGTTGTCTAGTTGCTCTTTCATCATGTGATGCATGGGATCCTAATCTTTAGGAGATCAGTTCCTTCTGGCTCTGTGTTTTCAGGTTTCAAAATTATATTTTAACACACGCATGAGACAACCTTTCCAACAGAATAAAACTGTGCTTACTTGTTTTTTTTGTTCTTCCACCCCACCCCACCCCCCTTTTTTGGCCCTACATAAATATAATAATGGTCACAGTAGTTCAGACACTGGGACTGCTATCCAAAATAGTGTTTTGGAGCAGATGTTTAGGAAAAGAGGGTAAAAATTAAGACCTTTCTGTGCTGCCCTTTATTGCTGTACCCTTCTAGCTTCATCTTCACCTTAGTGTCTCCACTGCTAACCATCCTTAATGTCTCCTCTGGTGTGGCTGTCCATGTTATAACAGTGTAACTTCTACATCCTGGGAAGCAATCAGGAGCTGTTCACTTGTGGCTTATATTTAGAAGTCTTAACATGATCACAAGGCACAGAGAAATAGTTAAACCATATCCCTCTTTCTCTTCTCTCTTTTTTTTTTTTTTTTGAATGTTTAGGAAGTATATGTTGGCAAGGAGACTCTCTGCACCATCGACGGCCTTCATTTCAACAGTACCTACAATGCAAGAGTTAAAGCTTTCAACTCATCGGGAGTTGGTCCTTACAGCAAGACAGTTATTTTACAGACGTCGGATGGTGAGTTGGGCTTTTGCCAGTTTCTAAGTGAAAAGCTGCAGGTCTCAGTGGCAGGACACTTGCATCTGTTTATACCCACTAGTATCTTTGGCACTTACTGGCATGGAGATTTTGGATCATCTGAGCAGAGAGGCCAGGCACTGAGCATGCACAGACACTGAGCTCTCCTCCTAGCACTTTGGGGGATTTTCTATTATTAGCAACACTTCAGGTTTCAAATAATGCAATTTTGTTTGGCTGTAGAAGTCTCAGATCTAAGATTCTTACTTGTTTTAGTATACAGAAGCAGTTATGCAACACACAGGATATTTTTGTGCCACTCTATCTCCACTTTCCATCTTTGGAAATTGCCTTTTTCTTCACTGCTGCTTCAGTTTCACAGCAAGGTTTGATAATACAGAGGTGGGAATTCATGCTTATTCCTCTGTAATTATACTTGACATCCATACGGGCATTACAGGAAGTTCATCTTCATTAATGATATTGTAATGAATTGAGAAGTGCATGCTGTTATCACTTTCACTTTTATGCTGTGTTGCGAAAATAGGCCAGTATAAAATATTTATACTTTAAGAGCTTTTTCTGTTGGTTTTTTTTTCCCCTTTTTCCCCCACTTTGATAAACTAGTGAAGTCAGTCCTAACCAGCACAGACACAGTGGAACTCCATTTCCATTAGAGGCGATCCTGAACCCATTGACCTATTCCATATCATGGAGAAGCCTTTGTCTCCTCAACGACTTTTTCGTTACCGTGTGAGAACAGAAAGTCACTGCCCTTAGCAGCTTAAGTTCAGAGGAGCAAGCACAGATAATATAAGTCACTTCTGAGCTGAAAAACAGCAGGGAACTGGCACAAAGCAATCTGGTGTAACTGCCTACGGTAAGGAGGAAAGATTGTCTTTACCACCTGAAAGTGCAGTAGGGTCTTTAGGAAGGCAGAATCTCATTCTCCTAATTGAAGTAAAGCAGACGACACTTGAACGCAGCCCATTCTGCCACAATCCTGCTTTTCCTTTTCTCCTTCCACAGTGGCGTGGTTCACCTTCGACCCTTCCTCGGCTCACAGAGACATAGTGCTGTCGAATGACAACCAGACTGCCACCTGCAACAGCTATGATGACCGGGTTGTTCTTGGCACAGCAGCCTTCTCCAAGGGCGTGCATTACTGGGAACTGCACGTGGACCGGTATGACAACCATCCGGATCCAGCCTTTGGCATTGCAAGAATTAACGTCGTCAAGGACATGATGCTAGGCAAGGACGACAAGGCGTGGGCCATGTATGTTGACAACAACCGCAGCTGGTTCATGCATTGCAATTCTCACACCAATCGGTAAGTGCCTCCCGCACGCTTTTCTCATTACTCATCCTTTCTTCTGCTTTGCAGCAGAGGAAGGGGTCTCAGCAAGCCATCTAGTCCATCTCCCTGCTAAATGCAGTTATTTTATTTTTTCTTAAAATATCATTAGCGACAGCGATTGCACCTTAGCAATCTGTGTTGGTGTTTGTTATCGTCACCATTAGCATTTTTTTGCTGAGATCTAACCTAAATCTCCCCTGCTGTGAGTTAAACCCTGTATTGCTCGACGCAACCGTGGCATCAGCAGGCAGGAGTGCAGCGCACTGGGATGCAGGATTTCTCTCTCACTGCTGGAGGAGCACAGGGAGAAAGGTGGTTGAGTCTCTTCCTTAGGAGGAGTCTTGGCTGCAGGGTTGCACAGTAATTAGGCAAAACACTGGTGGTCACCTGTTCAAAATGCAGGTGTTTATTGCCGGTTCTGAAAGCTGATTAAAGGTAATGCTGTAGGCCCCACCTGTGGTGATCTGGGCACAAGGGACTGTTTGGCAATGAGAGTTGTGACAGCTTCCATCCCACTGAGCCATTGTACTGAAGAGCTTTGAACAGTGTCTCAACCAGTACAACCAATTTACACAAAGAAGGATTTCAGAATGCCCCTGAGCCATCGTTAGCAAACCTCTCTTTCTTCCACCACTTAGAGGCTCTGTCTGCACTGTGCAACAGAGCGGTGGGGAGACATCTTCTAGCTGAAGCTACCTCCAGGGCCAAATCATACAGAGACAACGTGTATCAGCGTAGATCCAGTGTTGTGCTGACGTGACTGCATGGCTTTCAGCCCTCATGATAGTTACCTCTGCCTAATGCTGGCTGTGTTCTCCTTGACATGATGCTGGACTGTGTAGGGGAGCTACACGGGGTCAGCTTCGCTTGAAGCTCTCTGGGGTATCACCAGAGCAGAACTGCGCTGCTCTCTTTCTGTGTCCCACGAGAGGGTCAGGCCCTAGCCGAAGGTCAGCTGAATACAATGGGAACTGAGACCTTTGAGAAGATCTCAGCTGAAGAGTGTGATTCAGGATCCTAAGTCCCTTGCTTATTTTGGAAAATGGTATGTCTGTATACATACTCTAGCACAGTGGGAGACTGATGTACAAATAAAGTGACTGACCAAGGATACACAGCAGGTCTGTGGCAGGGCGGGAATCAATTTTCATTTAGTCTTCTACTGACTGTTTCAGCAGGTCTTCTACACTCGCTAGCTCAGCTGTTGTTTCTGTTACACCAAATGATTAAAAGAAAGGCTTGCAGTGATTTTTAAAATCCTCAAATGCTGATAATATCTCCTTAAAGAGATACGTTCATGCCAACATTCATTGTATCCTAAAGCTGGTTGTAATGTCTCCTGTTGAATAATCATTTATACTCAAAAGCATACTTGTATTTGAAGTAAGCATACTGTGATTGCTGGGATTTTTTGTTTGAAGCATAATTTGATTTTGCAGTTCATTACAGACAGGTGGAAGAACCTCGTAGCTGGATCCAAAGCTATCTGAAGTCAATTGGAATATTCCCATTGGCTCCAAAGGCCTTAAATGATGTCCTAAGTCAATATAGAGTAAAATAACATCAATGTAATAAATATACCAAAAAGTTCTCTGTCCCTTTAATATCTTGATTCGATTTAGGGCGGAAGTAATGTTAAGCTGTATTAATTTTAATGCTCTGTGAAACAGCTTATGTTTTCTGGAAAAAAGCTGGCAACCATTCTGTGTGCTACTGTCCCAGAAACCTATTTTATGGATTTGGTCCTCGGCATGCTCCTCCCGGCAAGCCATGGACGAGCAAAGCAAAACCTTTTTTTCTGGGAAGCACAATGGAAAACACTTCAGATTTCCAATCATCCTGCTTAAACAGGAGAACAAAGTGCTTTCTGTTGATGACAGTTTCCAAGTTTTTACTAGACAAAGCACAAAGGCTTTGCAGGCACATCCAAGGCACAGATAGACCCACGGAATAGCCGTTCAAGTGAAGTACACTCGCGAAGGGCATGTAGTCTTATGAAATCACATGCGCTTCAATGAAATTAGGTCTAGGCATTATATTTTTAACCATGACAGTCAAGTAGGTCATTTTTTTAACTCATTAGCTGTATTAGTCTTGTGGAAACAGTTATTGCTGCCTAGTTGTTTTTCCCCACTGGAGACATGGGCATGATGGCACAGTGGCACAGTCCAAAGGAAATTTATTGCCTCTCAGATGTTACTGTGATGGAGGCTATGTCTTAGTAATTATTTCATCCTTCCTAATCTTCATGAGAACAAATTAGGGGAATAAATAAATTACTAGCTTCAAGGATAAGTTGAAGTGGAGCTTGAAAGACCTATTCATGGGACCTGTCACGTTTAGAGTGCTTTCTTGTTCTTCTCACTCACAGAATGCAAAGTTGGACCTGCCTACACCCTTAAAAACTAGCATGACTTCTGTAATGCTGGAAGAAGAGGCAGGAACAGGAGACTCATGCTATCAAAAACAGAGGGGACCTTTGACAACAGGTTGAACAAACATTGGTTAAGAAAACACTTTAGGGTAGAGATATAGCTTTCAGCCTTATTATTCCTGGAAATAATCAGTTCACACCAGAGATGTTACATACCCATTGCTAAGAGGCACTGGCATTCATTGCAATAGATCCGTTCCTTGGCAAAGTTCCCCAGAGCAGGAGTTCCTGGTGCTATAGGCGATACTGTAGTCACTACATGGTTATGTAAAGAAAGAGACGGAAATCGCACTGGAATATTTTGTACTGAAAGACAGAGGGAAGTCAAAATCTAGAGAATTTGGAGTGTAGTCTTAAAGCCCCCTGCAATCAGGAGAGTCTCTTCACTGACTTCAGAGATCTCAAGACCAGGTTTTCATCACACAAAAATGTTATAATTGACTGAAAAATACTGTGCTTGACAATAGACAGGGTAAAGTGATTAACTTACTGTAAAACTCATGATTAAAATACTGTTAATGGATAGTTAAACTAATTCTTCATTTTATTAAAGTGGTCATAAATTGTTAAGCTTTTTCAATAATAGTGAAACTTATTGCTCTTCTTAATTCCTCAAGCCAATCCGTGCAGTCCTATTCTGCACATTGTCCAAGCTGCTGCTGAAGGCATCTCAGAATGACAGCCTCCGCTGCCACAGGCAGTGGCATTTTTCATGGTCGCCAAATTCCCCTATCTGTGCTCTGACCTTCCAGGCTTCCGCTCAGCAATTCCACACTCAGGACTTACCATTGCACCCAGAAATAACAGTGTTCAGGACTGTGAGAAAAGAGGTGTGAAGATTGGGATTTACTTGGAATAACAAGAGAGTGGTGTATATCTTCAAAAATGTATTGTCATTTAACGAATGCTAAGTATATATTGAAGAAGTATTGTAAAAAACAGTTGTATTTTCCTTTTACCTGGCCTGCAGATTATTAGAGGCTATGGTATAACTGTCATTAGGTAGTTTAGAAAATGCATTACAGTAAAGCAACAGCTTTTTTACATGCTGCCACAGTAGTGTAGCAGGAGGGAGCAACATCATTTTGAGTCTTTTGAGCTAGCTGGGGTTTTTTATTGCAACTAAGGCTTTTATTAGAGAAATCGTCTTGTAATACTGTCTAAATGATGTACAGAAGAGTGAGGACATACCTTGCATAGGTTTGCTCATGAAACTTTGACTCTCCCACCTGTCCTCCTAAAGGAAGTGACCATGACAGTGGTCCAAAAAGCACTGCATTCCTTGAGGTACTGTTCCCAAGAAAATCATGGGATGCTCAGGAAGAGCACCTCTTCAGCCTCAGAAAAAGTCCAGCCTCCTTGGTGGCAGCACAGCAAATTGTTCCCTGATTGCCTTTGCCCTGGCTTTATCCTGCCAGAGCTGGTTGCTCACTGTGGGGCCGTGGCAGCCAAGGAACAGGGCAACCTACCTAACAACGTCCTGCAAGACTTGGGGCAGCAGGGAAGGGAGAAGGTCCTCATCCCTCTGCTCTGGAGAGGCCGCAGTTGGGTCCTGCACTCGCCTCGGCTGGGCTCTGCAAGCAGCATCTATCTCCTCTTCAGCTGGGCTGTCCCCAGGGGCTGCAGAGGAGTCACTCAATGTCACTGTGCAGCACATAGCTAATTAGCCCACAAGAAGCAAATTAGCGTATCATATAGGAAAGAGCAGAATAATCTCAAAAAGGCAAAGTTGCTGTTTCTGTTTCCCGAAGAGAATCAATGTCATTTAAAAGGATGTAATAAAATCTATTTTAAAACACTGGAGGATATAAAACATGGTGCCCTACAATCAAAGCTGTTCCTAAACAGAGAAAAAACCCCACCATATTCTATTTGCAAATAGCTCTAGATCATAGTATTGTTACTTCCCACAACCATGTCATGAGTTTTATGATTGACTGCTTTTAATAAAAACAGTTTAGAATCTGAAATACTGAGGATAGGTAAGCATCTGAACTTTTGTTGGAAAATAATTTACTTTATGGCTTTGGACAAGAGCTCAAAGAGAAACCTGTTAATGTCTATAGGACCAGAAAGCAAATAAAAGGAACTGAGAACTGAGTAGTTTGAAATCTAACACATCTGAAAGCCCAACTGATGATTCTCAGCTATATTATTACTGTTTGAAGAGCTTTAAATGGAAAAGTCAGAATAATATCCTATACTATTATGCCGCAGATAAAAGTCCCTTCACCTTCAGAGGAAATGCCGTGTGCCACATTTAGTCTAAAGGAAACCAGTGTATGACACCTAGTGGACAAGATGAAAATTTCTTAACCTGCACTGTATTCTTCCTAATCACATTTTGATCCCTCGCCCCCCTACTCCCTTTTTTTTTTTCTTTTGATGTTTTGCCTACCTATTGTGATAAATTTTATGTAAAAATTATATTAATCCTGTGAATGTTATGTGCCTGAGGGGAGTGCGTGGGACAAAAGACAGCTGCTTCCTTTCCTCCTGTAAATTATTTCAAATCTGGTTTACCCTGAACAAATTGTGTCAGGCTGTAAATCCATTGCAGAGCCCCCATGCTATTAGCAGAGTAGCAGTGCCTGTGGCCAATCTGCATATCTAGTAGATATTTTTTTTTTTTGCTCAGTGCTCTTTATAGTAACGCTGAGTTTGACTAACCCTGCTATCAAAGTGCATTAATGTCAAATCGCTCGAGCGTGTAACGGCTGGCTGAGTCTGTCCTGGCAAGCTCTGATACCGTGGTAGCTCTCAGCAGCTGCTCCTGACACAACCAATTATCACTGGTATTGATAACCATGCCTGCACGCTTGAAACAGCTCCCAGTCCTGTAGCTGAGCACCTTGTCAGTCAAGGAGCTGTGCTTACCCCTAACCAGCCCCACCTTCCCTTGCTCCCCAAACCCAGTATCCTTCCAGTACCCTCTGCCGGCTCCCTGGTCTCTGGAAAGCTGGGTCCCCTCAGAGGATGCCAAGGTGAGCACTCGAACTGGAAGTCTGAGCTTTGAGCTGTTGGCAGGCATAATGTTTAGAAAAGACCACTGAGGAAACCAGCTTTCTGCTTTTTCATTCCCTGCTGTGCATCACTCCACTATCGCAGGGATGCTCTGAGGAGCCGTGTTTCCAGGACTCCTGTCCCGTATGCTCAGTACTGACCCGACCTGTTCATCTCCCCGTCTCCCGTCAGCCGAGGGGACCTGTTTGCTCTGGACCCCATTTTCAACTCTTAGATTGCAGTTGGAGGACAGATGGACCTAATTTCTCTTTAGGATCCACCCATTAAGCTCCCATGAATGTGGTACATGTGCTTCAGATAAAGATGTGGATCAGTTGTTGCCAAATGCTGGGGGGATAATCATTTCACCATGCTGTTCTGCTCTCCCTTTGCTTGGTAAGACTGCTTTGTCCTAGAGAGAGCAGCGGCGGTGTAGCACTCCGCCTTCACCAACAGTGTAGTCCCTTTCTACCTTAGGACTGAAGGAGGAGTTTCTAAAGGTGCCACCGTTGGGGTTCTCCTGGATCTGAACAAGCACAACCTGACCTTTTACATAAATGGGCAGCAGCAAGGGCCTCCTGCGTTTGAAAATGTCGAGGGTGTCTTCATGCCTGCACTGAGCCTCAATCGAAACGTCCAGGTAAGTCTTCTGCAGTTCAGTCCCACTTACTGGTCTCATCCAAATGAGAATGTGTGCTACTGGCCGTTGCTCCTGGGGCTGCTAACGGCATCCATAGGTAGTCAGTATGGACAGGGACTCGTTCCTTCTCAGACTGGGACCTGGGCTACTAACACCTTTTTTGGAAAACTGCATTTGACCTTCTGTGTTGCCTCACAGGTGTGAGGAGCAATGCTGTAAAAACAAATACAAGTACCTGCACACAATAATTCTTAATCTTTGCTGCAACACTCCAAGCAGTGGTGGTAAGGCTTCCTCTGTCTGTTTGAATAAAAAACATGAGTATCCTAATTCCTCTTAGATCTTATGTTTGGAGATTATTAACGTCGTCAAGAGACAGAAATGAGAGCAGCACAGTGGTAAGGAGAGCAAAGACAAGGTAGGTCAGAGA